AATCCTAGCTATTTAAATTTGACAATGTTATTGTAAATTGCAATAATGAATTTTTAATGATTCAATAGAGGCGTGTAGACAAATTCACCTAAAATGTCAGGATGATGAGGTTGAGCTGAAGATGGCAGAAACTCTTAAGCATGCACTGAGAAAGTGTGGTGGATACTTGTTCCTGGTAAATATATTGACAAATAAAGTGATGCAGTTGTATTAGTCAAAACTGTTAACAAATATACATAATACAATATAGCAATTAAAATATAAAGAATATAATATAGCCAAATTTGAAATGCATTTAAGACAAAAGTAAAATAGAGAATACAATGACATCACTGCTAAGTCAGGTATTAACTTTGTCTGAGCTTCATATTGCATGAAACAAAATATTTATTTTTGGCATAAACTTAAGTGCAACTTTATTTGTATAGCAGGTGTTTATAATGATTAATTTAATCAAAATTGTTTTGGCATATAATAATCTTATAGTTCTTGACAGAAAGATTAAAATACAAACCTCAGACCTTTTGATATGTAATTTTATTAATGGCTGTATTGGTCTGTCAAATTGAATTGGTCTTTTATATTTACAGGCACGAGCTGCTTTGAAATCTCCCAGGGCACCGACACCAGCTCCCACAGCAATACAGTCTCATACAGATAAATAGAAACTATATTAGATTTGTATAATGTATAATTCGTTTTTGTAATGTTGTATGAAAAAATGTATAATTTATTTTTGTAATGTTGTTTTAAAAAAATTTGTAATTTGTTTTGTAACGTCGTATCAAAAAATGTGTAATTTGTTTTTGTAATGTTGTATAAAAAAATGTGTAATTTGTAATGTTGTATCAATGATATTACCTCTCACTTATTTTTTTGCAAATGAATATATTGAAATTATTCTGAGTGGAGCTGAAAGGTATAAACAAGGTACTAAGAAGAGGTAAAAACCAATGGAAGTAGTATCAAGTTGCCAAAAAGGTAGTAAAATGGTAATAGGAATTTACCATGTTGGTATTTTAACATACCAAATTGGTTGTATATTGGTAATTCTACAACGTAGTAACAATGGCCCTGGTAGTCCACATTTTACATAAAAGTTACGCATGTAAACTACGTAACCACTACCAAACCACTATGTTAATAACAAATATTTATTACGTAAATGTCTTTTCTGGATGGTGAGATGTTTCTGACTATAAAAGTTTATTGTTGTTCTTGCTTCATGCAATTAGGTTTTTATCTTAAGTTTACATAAAAGTTATGCAAGCAAGTAAACTACGCAAGCAAGTAAACTACGTAACCACTACCAAACCACTATGTTAATAATAAATATTTATTACGTAAATGTCTTTCATGGATGGTGAGATATTTCTGACTATAAAAGTTTATTGTTGTTCTTGCTTCATGCAATTAGGTTTTTATCTTATTACTTCACCCCCATAATTACTGCTCATAAAAAGCCAATAATATTGTTGGTATTGTTGTTCTTTTAACATGTGATTATAACATTCTTTTGAACTTGTACTTTATATTGTGCCTAATCATCACTATAGTAAATATATGATTTGGAATTGAAATGTTTAACAATTATGATTATAAAAATATTTGTTTTTGTCCAAAATAACATGCATTTAAAAACATCTCACTTAATACAAGTGTTTATCTTGAAAGTACATATAAAGAATGTGTACATATACTTTAACTCTCATCAGTATCACTAGCAGCCACCCCTTCTGATTGGTGCATAGTTAGACATGACTGGAATTATGAAATTATGCATTTTACTTGACAACTATCTTTTTCTTGACACATCCAACATTATTCCTAACTGATTAAGAGTGTTGAACCACTAAATATTAAACATGTGTTTAAAACAGGTTTTCTACATTCTTAAGTGTGTTTCTATTACGTCTTTGGGCCAAAATTTTTTCCACAGGAACACATCACTAATTATAAAATGGGAGTCTATGGAAAACTGGATTTTGCTGTATGAACAACTTTTAAGAATGCATCTATTCTGTATATCATGAGATGGGTGTACTAGAAACATTCTAGAATTTTCTTCTCTAGAACTTATTAGAACCCCTATTCTGGAAAACTCGATTCTCATGTTTCGACCAAAACATGAGAGCCAGACCACAGATCCTACAAAATACAAGTTGTCACCACTCTGTAATGGCTGATGCAAACTAACGAGTAGCAAGTAACTAACTAGCACAAGCTGTGGGGTCCCATAACACACTGTTATATGCATGTTCATTCACGAATCATGTCATACTTAATTGAGAATATGATCTTGAATAATTATTTGAGAACTCAACATCAAAATATTGTAGTGCAAAATGCATGAGATGCAGCATTAAATAGAAAATTTAAATAACATACATTTCAATGCTTATACTCTATAGAAGCAGGAATACTAAAATTTATTTTTCTTAAAATTTTTATTTTTTTCCATCATTAACTCAGGCCACAGAGCCATAGGCAGTCACCTAACTTGCCTATAGCTATAAACAGTCCTGGTTATAAGTATATTTTAGGAGTTTTTCCATACATTTTATGTCAAAAAGAAAACACTTTAAATATATTTTACATTAAAACAAAAATAAGTATTAGGCATTAATGTGAATGCAATCAAAGAATTTAAAAGACTAACTTTGATACAATATAATCTATTGATCAAAGTTCACAGGATCTCTTACAATGGGAACTTTCATGTGTAAGCTATGTGCACTATTAACAATTTACCAAAAACTCCTTTCCTATATTGTAATTTAATTGTATCACTATATAAAAGACACTCACGTCTCCTTGAGTAAATAAATCAATTTTTCCAAATTCACAGACTTCAAGATAACAAAACTAACTTTAAAGAATTGAATCACTATTTAAATCTCAGGTTTTAAAAGAATAAAAATAATAACATTTCTGAGAATAAGAAAACTTCCAACAAACACTAAGTTCTGTATTTTAAATCTTTTTGAGCTAAATCATGCCAAGTCTTCAAATGTTCTCTAGAAATTCCATTATCAAATAACAAATATTCTTACTCCTATGGTAAAGATATTATATTACTTTTTATACATTTTTCCAACTGATTAATTGTCCATGAATATCACTGTTTTGAATAATTTTGTTGCAAACTATTAGCTGAATCATGGAATATTCTAGTGAATTCTTGTTATTTCAAGCTTTAAATTAGATAAATTTTCCTAAACTGTGGATCATAATAGCTAAACAAAAAGTAAATCTTGTATTATGAGTCCACTTGGAGGTCAAGTGGCAACTCTGATTTACTTTTAAATCATGTGAATCAATTGGACTAATTAGATCCTATTCTTTACATAGCGTGAAGCATATTATAAAAAATATATTCAATCCCTTGTTTTATTTGTAAAAATAATAATAATATTTCTGTTATGTTTTAATACTAATGTTCAAGATACAGAAAAGGAGCCCTCATAAGATATCAACAAAATTTTGGAACAACTTGCCAGGCATAAGTTACTTCACAATATATTAGACAAGAAGATGCACAGCACTAATTATATCTCACAATACATATAGTTACAGACACAACCAAAACTGCAATGAGAAGCAAAGAACATGTAGTTTCCTTTTTAAATAATTTATAACATGACTCTAAAATGAATTCTTTACTAAGCTATAAGGAAAAGTTAGTAAAATATAAATGAATCTGTGAAAAGAGGAATATCAACTAAATCATAAATCATTTTTAGTTGTTGGTTAAAACATTATATATCCTTAGTAAATAACCTGGAGATGGTTCTTTAAGTTTATAAAGATATCTAAAATTTACACAGATAATAAACCACCTGTTTTGTGTCACAGTATACCAGTCCTAAAAAAGACTAACTTCAGGTAGCTTCATTTGTTTTGATTTTGATAAGAAGAGAGGATGGGTGGTCAATTATTACTGAAATAATTAGGTATGATTTTATCATTTTTATTTTGTAATAATAGTCTATGACTGAAGTTGGGAATTTTACATTTGTAGAAATTAAGGGTGGTTTTTATTGACAGATATTTCTACATTGACTTTATGAACAGCATTCTTTTTATTACTTAATGGTTTTAGGAGTAACTACCATGACCACAACTTGCTAAGGATGGTAAGTGATAGTGGAGTTTGGGACACTGAGTCTTACCACCCAAATCCTAGCCCCTATGATTTTTCCTTATTAGCTGTCTTGTTAATCATCTGCATTACTTAGATTAGGTCTGATAAAATACCTCCAGTAGTTTTGGAAGCTACAGCTTCAAAAATTTTTCTTTTGAAATCTTAGTTTTTGTACTTCCCCGAAAAGTCATAAAATGTTTTCTTGTTCCATTTTATGCCTTTGTTTTTGGTACAATTAATTTATCTTAAATATTTGATTTGATTTATGTATCCATTCATCACTGTTATATACCACTGATTTTTGGCCTTATATATCCTTTTGATACAGTTACAGTAAGTTGATGATCTTCATTTATAAACAGAAAATTATGTATCAGAGTCACTACAAAGAAAACATATACTGCAAGTACTGATAACACTTTCAAAACTCTTTTATAGAGTTTTTAAATTGTTTTTAGTCTCACTGCTTCCTTGAATTTTTATTCCCTGAATTAAATTGCTCAACAGATAGATGCAAAAGTGTTAAACACAGACTAAAGACATGTACTTAGGTGTTCATGGTCATCTGGTAATATAAAATTCATTCATTGCACAGGAAGTTTCCTAAAACAAAAGAATTTTGTACGTTTTCTGAGTAATATTTTTTAAGTGTTTTACTAAACAGATGACACTCATTACACAATTCATACACATTAACCTATTACTACTAATCCCAATGAGGTAGATTGTATACAATTTATTTTGAACTTTGTATCAAACTAAAACTTTAATAACATACACTATCTACAGTCTATAGCACCTCTTAAATAATAAGAATAAACAAGTGGTTTAGAAAAATACTTTAAATAATACTTACAATCAGAGTCACTTGAATTTGTATTACCTGGTACCCCATAAGCTCCTGTAACCAATTCTATATTTTGTAACGGAAAAATAAAAAAATCTTGAAATTTCCACATTATTTCAAAAAAAGATAATGATGACACTTGGTATAACAATCAATCTTAATGATATGACTTCAAAGACAATCTGAATAAATCTCACATGCAACATTTGTATCATATCTTCTTTGTATAAGAGTTGTAAAGATATTTTCTGCTTTACTAATGACCATTACAGATTCTTTAATAAAACACACAGCATGTTCAAGAGCCATTACTCAGACTCTTAAATTTAACGTCTTTTATGCTATTCTGACAATAGCATTTTAAATTGAGACTTTTATTTAAAAAACAAACTAAATCAATAATCAATACAAGAAATAAATTATCTTATAACATACAAATTTGTTATTTTTCCTTTAATTGGACACTCAGTATTTCACTATACAGCTTCTTCAGGAGCATTCTACTAAAACAGAAACTGTAACTGGCAGGACAAAGCTTTCAAGCTATGTACTGTCAGTTAAGGTTTATGTTTTAGTAGAATGCTCTTGAAGTAGCTGTAGAGTGAAACATTGAGTGTCCAATTTAAGAAAAATAATAAATATCTTTTGAGATCATTTATTTCCAGTATTAAAATGTCTTATATACACCAATATGCATTACATAAATTTAATAAAAAATAACCATTTACATAAACTACACATATATAGAATCATAAATTTCAAACTGACAGAAGTTTGTTATTCATTTTTATTTTAACACTGATAATACAGTTGTCAGATATAGAAAATAACTTCTTTTGGTAAAACAAAAAAAATTAAGTCACTCCAATTGCAACCTAAGGATTAATCATTCAGCAGCAATTAAGTTAGTAAGGCATATAAAGATATTCTTTAGGTTATTAGGCAGCAATTAACATTAACATTTTCCTTACCTTAAGATGTATTTCCCATAAATAATCACCTTTTCACACACTTTAGCTACCTTCCTTGCTCTCACTCATCTGCCAAAGATATTTGCATGCCACTAGCCTTGAGGCAACTCCCACCCAATTTCATGTGATTTAGCATGAATTGCACTACTGCATTATGATATTATCATGCAACAAAGCCCTCCACCAATAGGAGGGTGAAACATCTCCATGCACAATAACTCCACCCTATGCACTTGCATTCATGGAAACTTCATTCTTTGATAAGACAAGGAAAACAAATGAATACCAGAAGTGGGAAAGATGGGTAGAAACTTGTGATGAGGTACCCATTGGAAATACATTTTCAGGTAAGGAAAATTTTAACTTCTGAGATGATAATTCACCTCTGTAAAGAATTTAGCTCAAATCCTATGTTTTATTGGTAGGGAGGATGGGGCAAATGTTACTTAAGAGGAGCTTCCTTCAGAAAGCTCCTGAAGGAAACCCAATGGCAGGGGCTTCATAGGCTCACACCTGAGGGAGACAATCTCGTCTCATCCAGGATATATTCTTCGCCCATAAAAGAAGAGAAGAAGGAGCAAGTGAGCCCAATGTGTCACAATGAGGGGCATAACAGTAACATGACAACCTGAGTACTTGCACACAAGCACTTGGATAGTAAATGTGTGTCACCGACTGGGCATTTTTATACCGTACCATATATGCACATCTCAACTCTACCAGACTCTACTGGACAGACTCCAGCTGTGGGAGGAAAGCACAGTAGTCATGCCTTTGTGATTCGAATATTGTGTGTTTACATCGACTCTACTGAACAGACACTGTTTACAGGACGAGGGCATAGTTTTAATGTGTGTACTTGCCTCAACTCTACTGAATAGACTCAGGCTGTAGGAGGAGGGCACAAGTGGCAGGTACTATGTATATGATAAGTGGTCTGCACTACACTGGCAGTGTCAACTCCACCTCACTTCCCACCATGTTGGTACTCAACTGTACACCACCCCAGTGTACAAGTCCAGTTGGTGAGGGTTCTCCAAGGTTCACCTTCCCAGCAGCTAGGAACTGGTACTACTAAATAAAAAAAAAAAGAGATCTGATCCCCACTGGTCCTGAATTCCAGAAAGAGTGCAATGGGTGACTGCAAAACCCCATTTCTGAAAGCCAGAAAGCCGAGCGATGATAGTCCATGGAATAGGTACATGTAAATATATTTACATACACCATGAGAATACCTCAAGTGATCTTGCAGAACACCCCATCTCGCAGTGAATACAGGTAGAGTTAGTGCAGATGGTTTGAGAGCTTTCTGTTATCCTGACTCTATGAAGAGTTTGGGTAAGTGTATTCTGGGAGACACTACCTGGTAGGATCCTATGTAATGAAAAATGGATCCTGAAAGAGAAATAGCATGCATTCTTCCCAAAGAAGACTGATGAATGATGACCCATGGAAGCAAAAAACCATCAGAAGACAAAACAGCCAAGAGGTGTAGAAGAGGAAACAAATGTGTGGAGAACATCCACATACCTGCCTGGAGAAGCTTGTCCTAAGGCCTGCAAAGAAGAGATGTAAGAGAATGGAAAAGGTGAAAAATAAAATCTAAAAAAATGTGAAACAATAAGTGAACATGACAAAGATATCAACTGTAGGAGATGACTTACCCATCCAGTAACAGTAGAAGGAGAGAGGTTCATGGTAAAAAAGGAGTCCCATGGTAGGAAAAGATGAATATGGAGACCTCAAAAAGGGTCCAAGAAAAGGTACACCAAACAGGACACAGGGGCAAAACCAGGTCTAAACAAGCAAGAGAGAAAGAGATGGGAGATAGGAGAGAAATACAGTTAACCTCCTGAGTGAGTGAAAGCTAGGAAAGAAAAGTTTGATTTTGAAAGAGAAGTACAGAAATGTAGTGGAAGAGAGTGTGAGAAGCCATAGGAGTTGGATAAGGAGGGCAGAGGAGAACAGAGTAGAGAGGACAGGAGAAGAAACACCTTGTGGTACTGGCAAATGTCATGAAAAAAACCTCCTCTAAACCAGTAAAGGCAAAAACTGACAAGCCATTGATGAACAGTCAGGTAAAAAAAAGGCAGAGAGATGGTTCACAGTATGACAGTCAGGAGGAAAGGAGTGGTAGAAGGACCAATGATGGACAAATATAGTGGAATGGCAAAAAGAAAATTACAAAAAAAAAGCTACTTAATCTGAAAGTATGGCCCAACAGGTGATAGATCACACATAATTCCATGTAGGAAGTTATCCTCAACAAAGAAGGGGTGCATGAGGAGGAAGAAAAGGAGGATATACTGGGAAGAGGAAGGGGTGGGTCCAAATGTCAAACAAACCAAGACTGAGCTGGTGAAAGAGGCACCAACAACAGGGTCCATGAAGGAGAGTAGTGTGTAAGACCAGAGGGAAAATGCAAATAGGGGAATAGGCATATAAAAAGAAGTGAGACCAGACCTGGCTGAGAAAATCGACAGACATGGCAAAAGGATGAGTAAGAGGGGACTACAAGAGAGGAACCTCAGCATTGAGTAGGGTAGCATGTCCAACCCAGAGCAAACCCCACTAAAGACATGGGGTTTTGAATATCACTCTGGAGGTAGAATGCAGACTGGCCAAGAAAGGCGGTCAGCAACCTAATATTAAGCCCCCAACGAATGACAGGTAAGTAAACCAGCCTAATGTGAATGGACTGGAAGTATATGTCTAATTTCCAAAAGCAACAAATCCTGAAACTGATGCCTCATGGACAGTTGGTGCAAAGAACTACCATGAAAGAGACCTATTGGAACATGATCAAGTGATCCAGCAGAATGGACAGGAATGGGAAAATGCCCAACAGAGAATGTCAAGTACATTGATGTAGAATTAATGCTTATCCAGCATCGAAAGATCAGAAGTCCTACCCTCCACAGAAATGTCTTAATCAGAGAGGGAAACATCAAAAAAGGGAGAGATCTGGTTTGAGAGTTAATAATGGAATGCAGGAAGTAGTATGGGTACAGTTCGGTCACCATGATAGTTCCTTGAGAAAAAGCTCACAAAATGAGGACAATGGACCTGAAAAAATTAAATTATGGGTCCAAAAGATCTACAGGAGGAGATACATGAATGTATGCCCCAAAGGAATAAGAAATGTAAAATGGCATAACACACAGGCAAAGAGGGGAAAGCTGAACTTGTCTGAGACAAGAAAAGAAGAAAGATGTCCAAAAGTACCATACAAGAAATAGCCATGAGAAAAGACCTAAATCTTGAGATAAGTAGCCTCCTAACCAAGTAGCCACAGGAAATGAAGGGAGTCAGGTGAAAACATCCAAGAATGGGTAAACAGAAGAAAAATAAATTAGTCAGAAATTAGAACATCAGCCCTGGGCCATGAATATGGCAAACGAAGGCCTTCACGATACTGATGAATACAAAAGGGGCTGATGCTGAGTACAAGGAAATATGGGAAAAAGACAGATGAAACATAGAAAATAAATGTAGGAAGGGTCGAGAATATCATGTAGGAAGGTGTCTGACACATTGACCATGTCCAACCTCAGACTGGGTGAAAAGAACCACAGATTGGGTTAGAGGGAGGTGAAAAGAAAATGAGAAGTGAAGAGGAGCAATGAAATAGACAAAGGAGAAGAAATTAAAACTGAGGGAAAAGAGGGGATTACAGAGAAAAATGTCACATTAGGGAACCAGAAAGGGAAGGTAAGGAGCCCGATCTAAAAGCTGGCCAAATAGGTATAAATGGTAAGAAATCAAGAAAGGAAGAGAGTCTACAAATCAGTACAGAAGGAGTCATGACCATAAGGGGGATGAAGCAATTTTGCATGAGAAAGAAGCTATTACAGAAAAAAATATTATAACTCTTAAGAGCAAGCAAGGAGAGAAGATAAGTTAACTCCAAGAAACATAATTCAGGGAGTAAGAAAATGGGAAATAATAAAGAACACATGCAAAAAATAGGAAAAGAAAAACACCTGTGTATGAAATCCAGAAAGAGAATGAAAGGTTAAGGTCATTTTATGAACGTAAGTTACCATCCAAAGCTAATCAGATGAATGTCATAGTCCAAATGATTCTCCCGTCTAAGAAGAGAGAGAGAAATCTGAGAGTAGGAGGCCTATTAACCAGGTGGTAATCAACAAAATGTTCAATAATGGCTGCAATGAGCCACCAAAAGCCAGAGTAAAAATAAGGCCTAAGCAAGAATAACATCACACTCTTAGGACCAAGTAGAAATCATCTTCATTTGAGAATTCACAAAAACTAAAGCTTTTGAAACTAAAGCCAAAGAAGACGAAAATCAAAGTTTGGGTTAACAGTGCAAATCTCAATAAACATATCTGATCAAAACAATGACAGGGAAAATAATTAAGTTTCTAAGAATTCAAGTGCATAAGGGAAGTTATAGGAAGCTGTGTCACCCTACTATTCATGCAGTAGCACAATTCACACTAAATCACATGAAATTAGGTGGAAGTTGCTTCAAGGTTAGTGGCATGCAAATCTCTTTGGCAGATGTATGAGCACAAGGAAATGAGGATGTGTGTGTGAAGGTGTTATTATCACAGAATTTAGCAAAAAAAAGATATTCTGGTTATTAGGAAGCAGCTAACCTTTGCATATAAAGGTGTTTTTATGGGCATTAGGCAGCAGCTAACTTTAGCATATAAAGGTGTTTTTATGGGCATTAGGCAGCAGCTAAATTTAGCATATAAAGGTGTTTTATGGGCATTAGGCAGCAATTAACTTTAGCATATAAAGGTGTTTTTATGGGCATTAGGCAGCAATTAACTTTAGCATATAAAGTTATTTTTATGGCATTAGGCAGCTATTAATTTAGCATATAACAATATTCTTCTGGTCATTAGGCAGCAATATTAGCATATAAAGATATATGGGCTATTAGAAAGCAATTAATTTTAGTATTTGAAGACATTATGGTTATTAGAAAGCAATTAATTTTAGCATATAAAAAGTTCCTAGTTTATTAAACTTCTTATCTTGTAATTAATCTAACTTTTAGATAACAAAAATACAAAGCTTAAAAATAAATACAATTTAACATTTTTTTGTCATGTACACCTTTATGTTGAAGTATATTCATGCAAAACTTACCATGAAGGTATAAAACAGTATGGTAGGAAAAGTTTGTCATCAATACCCAATAAACAACAGCACTGCCCAGAAGTGTGAGAAGAGAGAAAAACAAACTAAACCATTCAGCCCAACGCCCCAAAAAGTGTCGAGCAACATCAGAAAATTCAAGCAGTTCATCTGTGGCATTACCTAAAACAAAAAAGAGAAAGAGGTTGATTATACTTCAAATATTCTTCTGATACACAACTCCACAAGGAAGAATTTAATTATACTTCAAATGTTCTTTTGTTCCACAACTCAGTAGACATACCAAATACTGGAACTTTTTTCATAACAGTTAAAAGTTATATAAGAGACAAAATTTCAAGTTATACTTTTTAAAATGGTATAAATGAACTTGAATTGGGTAAACCCTACATATTACAAGAAAACATTTAACTTTTACTTTAATGCAATCCAATTTCCTAGCAACTGAGGTTCAGCTAAGGACTCCATTCCTAATCTGTATTCAAATGATTTGTTGTTGGAAATGTTTTGATATACTCCATCCTACCTGTTATAGCTTCTTTCAATAAAGAACAAAACTGTTAATCTCAAACTTGCAAATATGAGATTAAAAGTTAAATGTTACACATTTAACTACTCATACCAGATTTTTTGCTTCTCATAGTGGAAATACTTAACCACACTGCATGAGCTTAGTATAAACTTACTAAACAGTATCATATCTTGGTTTTAAGCAAATTCATATAATTTGATTTGAAATTTATAGAATTTTGTTTAGGTTGTGAAATGATACATTTTTTTGTGACACATAATTTTGAAAAATGTGAAAAGTTAACATTTTCTTACACTGAAAATGTATTTCAGATAGGTACTTACCTTTTGTTACACAAAGTTATCCCAATCTTCTTTCTGCCCTCTAAGCATTGCTAAAAAAAGTTTCACACTCAGCACAACAGTCTTACCTAAATTCACACAAAGCTAGAATCACATACTGCAAAGTTGGAGGGGCTCGAGGAGGCAAACAACACTGAAACCAAGCAGAAAGTAACTGCCAAGAATGAGCAGGTGTGCTCTGAGATGAACCGAAGCATATATTTGGGGCACCACACTACTTCTAGAAAAGGTATGCCTTTGGTTCTGGAAGAAGGAAATGAACCTATTACGAGCAGAAAAAAAAAGAATGTGCACAAGTGTAATTCATTCTGAGAGAGGCAATTCATAGTAAAATATAAACCAAATTAGCTATGTACGTACTCAATCTTAACCAGGCAGACAAGGTTCTATAACTCCTCCTCACATTAGGAGGTTGAAGATCAATCAGATAAAAATGAATATAGAGTAACATAAACATTGTGGATAGGGCATGCAGACCATGTTAGTTGCAAATACTCATCAACCCCAATAGTAAGTGAACAGTCAAGCAACCAGAATTACGAGAAAAGAAAATTAAGAGAAAATTAGCATGCAGCCAAAATCAGACAAACTCCTGAAACCACAATAGGAGCTAGAAGTATTACATCATCAAGAAATTAATGTTGCATTTTGGAACACTTTCATTAACCCCCCCCCCTCAATAAAACGTATATCATGCATAATATTTAAACAAACCACCTAAATGTCACGTTAGTGTAGACTATATAATGTGTAAAGTTTAGTATACTCTAATCCCTTATAGTGATGGCACAAGACGAGACACATTCGGCATGTAATGCTGTTTGAATACAAGAAGGGAAACAACACTTCTATAGCCACAAAGAATATCAAAGAAGATTATGGAAATGTTTTGAATGTTCATAAGTGTCAACAATGGTTCAGCAAATTTCGTTCAGGTGACTTTAGCCTTAAAAACTGTGATGTTAGAATTGATATTGATGCTCTGAAGACTCTTGTTGAGTCTAACCCAAGAAAACACACTCCTGAAATGGCCCTCAAATTGCATGTCTCTCATGAAACAATACATAAACATCTAAGGAATATGGGAAAACTCCTTAAAGAAAGTGCTTGGGTGCCTCACAAACTCTCCGATGATCATTGTTTCCAACGTGTGAATGTTGCTTCATCTCTTCTGGTGCGTAATGCACGTGAACCATTTTTGGACAGAATTGTCACCGGTAATGAAAAATGGATTTTCTATGCAAATATTAAATGCCAAAAACAATGGCTCAGTCCTAGACAAAAAATACTTCTGACGCCAAAACCTGGACTCATCCACAGAAAGTGATGCTTTGCATTTTGTGGGACATCAAAGGAGTAATTCATTTCGAACACCTGAATCCACAGCAAACTGTTAATGCAGAGATCTACAGTCAGCAACTGGAACGTTTAAATCAAGCCCTTAACCAGAAACACCCTTTACTCGTCAATCTGAAAGGTATTCTTCTTCTCCATGACAATGTACGTCAACATGTGGCACACTTGACGCAACACAAGGTTATGGAGTTGGGTTGGGAAATTCTCCCCCACCAACCATATTCTCCAGATATGACACCATCAGATTACCATCTTTTTCATTAGTTACAACACCATCTTAATGAGAAAATATATGCAAATGTGGAAGGTGTTAAAGAGGACATTGACATGTTTTTTGCTTCAAAGCCAAATGATTTCTTTAATCAGGGCATTAACAACCTGATTTTAAGATGGAAAAGCATCATCAATAAGAATGGAGACTATTTCATTTAATAAATGTTTTGTTTTGATATACAAGTTATTTGGGTTTTATTATCTAAAAAAAAGTGTCATTAATTTCTTGATGACCTAATACAAAAAACCAAACTTGGAGAGGGGTGAAGTAAGAGGGTAAGCATAGATGTGATGATCCCTCCAATCTTGAATGTTTCCACTCCTAGCGGGTGTGGAACATGAGACCAAAAGGAAAGAACTTTGGTGTTCCAGTGGGATATGAGGTGTTCCCAGCTAATAACACACCCACTTAAAGGCCTGTGGATCGAGGGACCACTCTGTGAGGAGAATCTTGTTGGGTTGAGATAAACAAATCACAACCAGATTCAAGGCACCAGAAACATAGCAAGCTAAGACCACCACATGGTGACTGTGGGCCCAGAAAAGAAGATTCAGTATGAAAGCACAGAAACCTGGAATTGGTACACTCTTCCTTGGTGATACAAGTGTCCCATGCAGAGTTCAAGAATATTGATAAGAAAAGAAGACTCCTTGACCGACCCAAGTGTCGAGGCAAGCACCCTGATGCATCTATGAACAGATATAAATTCGGATGAGGTGGAGGAAGCAGAACTCCCACCATGGTCTGATCCCTGTCTAGCCTCCAACCCAGGCCAGCCCTGATTGGGGAAAGAAGGGTAAAAGGGTGGTCCAAGGGATCTGAGAAGAAGTTAAACTAATTGAGGAGTGTACACTGAAGGGAATGCATATGAACTCGACTTATGGGAAGGAGAGTTTCCAAGAGAGCCTGCATTCCTGCAAAGAGACAGAACCTCTCAAGCTGTGACAGAATGAGGTGAAGGCTTTGTGGACTGCTTGCTCCACATCCCAAATAGGAAGAGAAGAAGGCTGGGCCTGAATGAGATTGGAATCAAAGAAAACTCCCAAATGAACAAGGTATTGAGTGGGAGTAAGAACAGACTTCTCCATACTTATCAGGAATCCCACCCATGCTGCTTCTTGTAGGAGCAGATTAGTGTGGTCTCTGGTTTGTGAAGAGGAAAAAGTGAGCAGGAGCCAGTCATCCATGTAATGATGAGTATGAAGACCCATTGAGTGAAGATGACAGACAAAAGTTCTTACCACCTGACAAAACACATAAGGAGCTGAGGTTAGTCCAAATGGTAGTGCCCTAAACTGGAACACTCTACTTCTAATGATAAATAACTACCGATGATGTGGGTACTGTGGGGATGAACCCCTTATTGTAGAGTATGAGGAAAAAAATTGGATTCTAGTATCAAGAACATAGGAAATGTAACTGAAATAAAGCTCAGCCCTATGAACGGGAAAGAAACAAACATGTCAGTGATGTAGCAATGCAAAAATATTGAGTCTTACAATGATGGAAATTAGGATTATAAGGTACATATTTAACAATGATAAAAAAAATTATTCATATAGAACAATGAATTAGATGTTACTAGAAGGATTGATATATAAAGTACAAACTATCTAAACATACCTAGTTAACAAAGTACTCATTAATATTGAACTGACAAACCATTGAAATTTACCTAGTCTACAAAGTATGTAATAATAACAAACGTGTAATCCGACTAAGATTATCTAGAAAACAGAGTAGTGATCAATATCTAACTCAAAATAAATCTAAATTAACTTAGATATCAAAGGACACATAAATATCCAACTTACCAAAGTCTGAGCACTGATGATGTGAAATACTTAATTCTCCCATGTGTAAAAAGGAGAAAGCCACACAAAAAGCACTTGAGCTGTGCCTACTACAGGTATTGCAACCAGGTAAGAAGTGTACAAGTCAAAAACTTACCACAGATCCACTGGAAGATCTAGAAGCAATAGGAAGAAAGGAAAAGAACAAATCTCCACCAAAGTGAAAGTTGTGGAGGCATAGAAACAGGAGCAGGAAAAAAAAACAACTAGATAAATCACCCACATCTCAAATATACAGAAAAACAATATGCATCAAACATCGACCTGAGTAAACACCTGTAAAAAAAAAGGTATGGAAGGTGAAATATCCTGAAGAGGTGTAGAGTGTGACAGACCAAAATAAGAAGGTGTTGGAAAAAAAGAGAGTCCAAATTGTCTTCTACTTGATTGTATTTTTCCTCAGCAACATTATCAGGTTGAAAATGAGAAGAAATTACTGGCCAAACACACGAATCTAGCTCTCTGCAAATTAAGACCTGTATCTCCTCTGCAGATAAAGTCAAACCTAATTCTTGGGAAGTCGTATCAGTATCGTTGTCAACTGTAAAGGTAACTACTGTAGCTGATACATTGAATTGCGAATTCATACAAAGTTCTCATATAATTCAGTAACCAGAAATAAATACAAACAAAAAAATTTTTCTTTGAAATAATTGAATGCAAACACAATTATAAATGGTAGGCACATGTGAAAAAACGTCTAAATGAAACTTTGCCAATCGAATAGCAGAGGGAGCTAGCTGTGCCAATATAGGTGACACAATACTATTTATATAATCACTTAGTTTCAACTTGATTGATATTCATCAATATATTTGTTTCAATAAATAATAAGTTCTTTTAAAAGTTATGGTTAAAATGCAAAAAGCTGGTAAACTATCGGAAAACCAATAGGCCAAAACTGTTAGAAAAACAAGTTAACTGCATGTTTTATCTTGATTTTAATTTTCCATATTCTTTTTCTTTTGCCCATTGTGGTTCAAAATCAGGTGTGTGTAAAAAATAACATTTCAGATCTACCTTTTTTTTCTCCAACAAGTCACTGCCCAATAAGCTTATCATTCAACACCAGAACTCATCAGTTGAGTTGGATAACAGACAAAAGAATTATGAAATGCTATTTATATATTCAGTACATTACTTTAAAAGTTATGGTGATATATTGAAAAACCAGTAGGCCTAAAAATTATTCTAAAAACAAATTAACTGCAGATATTTTCCACATTCCTCTTATGCATATGGATGAGTCAGTTTAATTAAGCAGATTTATTATCAAACTAAATCAATAAGTTTGGCATCAAAACATAGTTTATAATTGAAATTTGTATATCATTTAACTTTTAATTTCTTAATCCTATTGCAATGGGCTTGTGTACTTCACATGACCTTGAAACCATCACAGTTACATGGTGGTATACAAGCTTTGACTCTGAAAGTATTCAATAAATCTTCATAAAGTTTTGCAAGCTTTAAGTTTAATTAATTTTACTAAAATTGTACCCATATTTATATGGTGTAAGATTGTTGACGGCTCTGAATGCAAAGAGATTTTCATGTTGAATTAAAAACACTTTTTTTTGTCTGAAACTTTCCAAATTTCATTTGTTTTTGTTTTGAATTTTGTGCAAAGCTACAAAAGGGCTAACAGCGCTAGCCGTCCCTAAGTTAGCAATGTAAGACTAGAGGGAAGGCCGCTAGTCATCACCACCCACCGCCAACTCTTGGGATACTCTTTGACCAACAAATAGTGAGATTGACCATCACATTATAATGCCCCCACAATTGAATAGGGGGAGAATGTTTGGTGGGACAGGGATTTGAACCTGTGACCCTCAGATTGCAAGTCAAGCACTCAAATCACCTGGCCATGCCGGGCCTATTTCATTTGTTAATCCATAAAATCTTCTATATAAATATCAATTTTTTTTCAGAAAAACTATATTCTATCTGTTATTTTCTATACCATAACTCTATACAGAGTCAGTTGATTTGACTGACCTCGTAACCACCATAAAAAAGGAAATACTACTAAATAACCCTTTTTTCTTTCTGAAATGACTACAAATTGTAGCAGGAAACCATAATTGTTTATCATAAATAGTTTAAGCTTCTAAAAGTATACATTCATTTTATACTTAATTTTATTGTTTTATTGCATTTTGAACTGTGTCTGACTAATAATACTGCCCCCCCCCAAGTTGCAAATCGTTTGGCAAATATGTAGCTCACGTTACCCTACTCGTGAAGAATTTTTATTATTATTATAATTTGTATAACATAATATAACCTAACGTGTTTATACTGTTTACATTTTAGTTACTTTTATAATAATAAATAAAGAATACACATGAAAAACAATAAATATAGTACTCACCTGGGTCTTCTTTTTTCTTTGGTGTTGATTGTCAGTGAAACTTAAGACTACTTTTTTATACTAATGATACTACCACACTAAATACTTTTTAAAAAAATTAAATACTGCACCTAAAACAAAGAATAATAACATGTAAAAAGCAGACAGTGTGCTATAACTATCATGATTTGTCTGGCTTTCTAAGTGATATGTGATAAGAGCTGGTGGAAATTCTGCTAATCTCATTTATGTTTCCTGTGGGAATAAAACTTGAACTGGTAGCAAAATAGACAATTCTCTATTCAGAAAACAAAGTAAAATATAATATGTCATTTGATAGATTAAAACTTTCTTAATATAGTATAAAACATCAGAGAAAACTATTGGCAATTTGTGAAAGAGAGGATGTGACAGTTTGGTAGAGCAAGTAGGTCTGATTTACTTATTTATGACTCCATAAACAAATAAGATTAAAGGGTATAAAAATTATGCTTTTCCCAAGTAATATCATTATTATAATAAGTAATTTACATTAAATTCCATTCTTCTTGGAGAGGTGATAAATATATTAGAGAAGAAGGAAGACCTGGAAAGCAAATGCCACAGTTCTTATACTAGGGGAGATTGTGGACTTTTTAAAATATTTCCTTATAAAATTAAGAACATAAAACTTGCATAATATTAAAATTTAGTTTATTAACCATGTTTTGATGCCAAGTTTATTCATATACATTGATAATAAAGATGTTCAATCGAACTCTGAATGTTACACTGCAAAAGGTTGTGACATGCACACTTAGACCTACCCAATGCTAAAGGGTTAATTTTGAAAGAAATTATAATTTATAATTCAAATTCTTACATTATCAAAGCATTAATTTCTTAATTTCAAAAGGAAATGTTTACATAAATTCTTAAACTTCAATTTTCTGTGTCATGTGAATTGCCTTGCCTCTGTTTTCTCCCTTTCCCAATCAATGAGAAACACAAATTATAGATATCGGCAGGTGAGCCACCTAAATTTTGAATGTGCTGAAATATAATGCTGTTCCACCCATCAGTGAGGCTCCTCCCATCTATCACTGCTTTGAATTAATTCATCTAAGCCATGTGTCATTATTTGTTGGACATGTTTAGAGCTCACTGAACGAATAAATGTAAATGTACAAGTTCTTTAAATTCATTTATTTAGTTTTCATGGTCAGAGATGGTAGTTTCTAAGGAAACTTTGAGCAAATGCTCAAAGTTGTAATGGAATTTTTTTAACTCTATGTGAATGGCGTTGGTCTATTGGGTAATTCTGAATATGCTTTATTTTTTTACACACCTTTGATTTCGAGCCACAATGAAGAAATGAAGAGAAATGCAGAAAAAAAAAATATGCATTTAACTTGTTTTCATATAATTTTTTTATAACAGTATCTTTATTACTTGTGTGTGTTTTTGAATATAATACACTTAACAATGATATTCAATAAGATACAAGTCATCTTAATATTTTGTCATTGCACTACCATACTTGCTAAACCTAACTAACTTACCAAATGTCTTATCATACAAGAAAATTTCTTTGAAAAAGACGTAATTTAACACAAAAATATTTTCTGGAATGAAAACATCTAAAGAAACTGTATGAATCTGTGGTTTGTTCCAAAATCTTTTATATTTCCCCCTTTAAATTTCTCTGTTCATCCACAAGCTCTGGGTAGAGAATAACTTCCTGAAACAACTTTACACAAATTTGCCCTATCTAATTGCCATTAAATGCTGTCTATAGCTAGTTTCAAAGTAGAGCTTCATTAGTAACTGTTCAAACCACATGCTATGACATCATAAAAGAGCGGCAATGAAGGTTATAGTTCATTTTCCATCGGCAGTGTTTTGCAAGAGAAGACAACATCTCCTACGGTGAATGTGTTCTCATGTGACTGAATAGCCCAATTCAAGATTTACACTGTTTGGAACACCTCTGGCAGATAGTGCTCAGAGGAAGACGTTGTTACAAAGAAGGGTTGACTTCTTTCCCTTTCCTCTTCTGTTGCTTCTGCTTCTCATTTTCCAATCGATCAGTTTCAAATTTTATGACCCAGGACAAGCCTGTGTGTGACTTTATTTAGAGTGGGGATAACAGGGCACAGACACTAACCACACTACTTTGGCAGGTTGGGTATAGTAATAAAACCACTAACAGAGAATGAAAAACAAAGAAACAGGATGTGTTTGTTTCTTAGTTTGTTATGGATTTCATGCAAAGCTACACGAGGGTTATCTGTGATAGCCGTCCCTAATTTAGCAGTGTAAGACTAGTGAGAAGGCAGCTAGTCATCACCACCCACCGCCAACCCTTGAGCTACTCTTTTACCAACGAATAGTAGGATTAACCGTCACATTATAATGCCCCATGGCTGAAAGGGCGAGCATGTTTGGTGTGACAGGGAATTGAACCCGTGTCCCACAGATTGCGAGTCGAGCACCCTAACCACCAAGATATGAATTCTCATATTCTCAAGGGAAAATAGTTTCTTAGCAAATATAAACCTATATTTTGGGATGGGAAGACAAATTATAAAAAAAACTATAACTCTGTTGCTCACAGGCAAAATTCCTCTGAGTTGAACAGAAATGAAAATTGGAACTTTTTTCTTTGCAAAATGCACTAAAGAGGTGTTACAAAATTACAAAATATCAATACTAAAATATTTTTTAGTAAAAAAAACTATTGAAATAGAGTTAGTTTTTTATTTAGATATTTAAATTTTATATGCAGATGCGCATTCAACATTTGAAAGGTGATAACTGATCATGGTAGGGATAGGGAATTTTATGTTCAATATATCAAGATTGTCTTTCATTAAGCTATAGTTATCTACATGAAACTATAAAAAATATTTCTGTAGTATTTTGAACTAGGATACAGCATTAAAATTAGCCTAAAAATAAAATTGTAACCAGTCAATTTACATGTGAAATGTGCAACATTCATGCAAAACAAGCCTGGACTACGAAAAATGTTAAAGTAATATTTTCTCATATAATTGGTTTTAAAATACCCACCAACCAATTCTGGCATCCTGATTATTCTTAAAGCAGTATATAAACATATACCACACATTACCAGTATTATCACAAGGGCAAATGCAAATCCAGCCTAAAGATAGAAAGAAAAAAAAAAAAAAGATATATTAAGTACTGACTGATGCCACAAATCCACTTTTCAAAAATTAATAAAACTATCATATTTGTTCAAATATCTTAATAAATTGCATCCTTTCATAAAGTAAAACAGTCATTCTATGTACAAGTTTATTTCTTTTAGAGAATATATATTCTTCACGATTTCATTAAGAAACCATTTACATGTTTTCTTATTTTTAGATCAAATACAGAGAGCCAAATACATTATATTAAATTTTGAAAATGCAAATCAGCAAGTTACTTGATAACCAAAACCAATATGAAGTAATGGTTGAACAAATCTATCAGAACATTTTGAAATTTTTGGTGTTCCATAGGTAGTATGATGCCATCAAAAATTAATTGCTTTTGAGAAGGGTAAGCAACAGCCCTCTCCAACACAAAATATTCATACACTCAGATCATAAAGATGTGTTCAGATTGGGGATTTAGAATTTTGAAGATGGGATATTTGTTTTAATTAATGGCATTGAAAAACAAAGGAATATGAATCAACTCAGGTAACCAAGACCATACAGAAAAAGACCTGCAACAAGTCACACACCAACCATAGTAAGCAAAGTGTAGCATCTTTTAACTCCTTCAAAATGGGCAGCATTTTGTGCGATGTTTGGAGGTTTTAGTGAGTAACATTTAAAATTTAATTAAACTACTTTATTTTCATGGTATATAAATAAACTTGGCATAAAAACGTATTTAATAATCCAAATTTGAACATTATTTAAGTTTTAAGTTCTTAATGTTACAAAGCAATATTTAAAAAAATCCTCAATTTCTCTTAGTGTGAGAATTGTAACATTCGGTCTCTAGGTATAACTTCTTTTCTAATTAATTTACCACCACTCCAAGAAATACAACATTTAATACAAATTACTCATTATAATGTTATCACTCAGGCAAAGCATAATTTCTATAGCCTTCAATTTTATTTGGTTACAGCACCCTAAAATAGAAAATCAGACCCACTTGCCACACCTACTTGTCACGTTGTCAATAGTTCTCTCTGACATTTAATACTATATTACTTATAACTAATAGAAAGCCAAGGTTTTAATCTATCAAATGACATATTATACTACATTGTTTTCTGAAACAAAGAATTGTCAATTTTGCTTCCAGTTCAAATTTTATTCCCACACGATGCACAGACATGCTTTAGCTGAATTTTTAACAGCTCTTGTTGCATACTTAGAAACCCAGAAAATTTATGATAGGTATGGGACATTGTCTGCTTTTTGCATGTTATTATTCGGTGTTCTTTGGTGCATTATTTAATTAAATAAAAAATTATTTAGTGCAGTAGAATCATTAGTATAAAAAGTAGGGTTAAGTGTCATTGACAGTCAATAACAAAAGAAATAGAAGACCAAAGTAAGTACTTCATTTCTTGGCTATTGGCAATATATTTATCAGCTGGATCATGAATGGATATAGCTATGTGGATTGTAACATCAAGGAGAGGCTTCAAAACCATTTTTAACATAATGTGCTCAAGTTCTGTATACTAATCCAATAAAGAACCAATACCAGTTAGGCAAAAATTATTATATTAATAAAAAAAATGAAAATATGTTCAAACAGCTATTTCCATTTATGATATTTCAGTATATGGTTAATAACTGACAAAGAAGGCCAAACCAAATCCAGCACAGCAGGAAGACTAGGTAAGAATACTACTAAGAGACTACTTTTCTATGTAGCATTAATCCAGTATGGCAAAAGAACAGGGTAAGAATACTTCTATCAGTTTACTTGCTGGAAGTAAGTTACTGCTTTTTAACTGACCATTCTTGCTGGAAGGCCGACTTCAAGAGATTACATTTTTCTTATTACCTTCAGTAGTCCTATCTTAATTGTTAGTATAAAAAAAAATAATTGATGAAGCAGCCACATTCTCACAATTAGTTTCAGACAGTTACAGATGATAGAGGTGTGGAGTATTATGGGCTTGATCACACACACCAATGATCAATAATATATTTTCTTTATTTTTCTATAACATCTTTGTTATAAGAATGGTGAAACTGGTATTTTTTTAACTCTTTATCCACTGATTCAATGAATTACAGTGATCATGTGACAATCAGAGTTTCAATACTATAACTTTTAACAAACATAATAAGTATTTGTAGACAAAAACCTGAATTTACAATTAAGTATTTTTGCTCATCTGAAAATTTTCAAATTTCATTTGCATAATCTCTAAAACCTCTTACATAACTGACAAACTTTTTTTTCTCCAAAAAACTTCATATTTTATCTGCTATTTTCTCTCTACAGGGTTGGTGAATTTGACCACATAAAACTTTAAAGGCTGTTTTAGTACTGGACATGAAGTTCCAAAGTACTTCTCCTGAGAGTTTCTACTTCTAACCTTTTCACATTTATTTTACTGTTAGCAGCTGAAGTAGAAACCTGCTAATCAAAAAGCAATGAATCAACAGTCCTGTCATTAGAATGTTTATACGACACTGTCAATAGCAAATAAGCTCATGTGGTGCAATTACCATAACTTTCCCATACAGTTTATCATAATCCCAGCTTCAAAAACACAGTGAAAGGGGATTTATTGGCTTGTTGATATTACAATGGTTGCAACGAGAATTGTCTAAAGTAACAAAAGTACAATAAAATTTTTATGATACGACTCTCTACATAGTCTAGGCCAATCCAATAAACTTGGTAGATATTTGGATGTTAATTATCCTCTTAGGATTGTTGGAATTTAGCAGTATAGGTATACAAAGTATGCAAGTGTTTATTTACTCAAAAATACGTAGTTGTTTTTCTTAAAACACAAAACAATAACAAATATATATGAAAACAATGATTTCTAGTGCTTACTATAATACAAAATTAATTTGTACTAGCACATTGTATTTGCTAAGCCTCACCATAATCTTCATTTATTCTCTCAAGTGGAAGGTAAGGCAAATTAATTTTTGTAGATTTCAGAGATGCATTTTAGAAAATCAAAATATTATCAAATTACTATACTGGTACACATAAACCATTAATTTACTTGGCTTTCTAACTAAGCTATATGCGAGTTAAAAAATCTCATTTCTGTTAAGAGCAATAACTTTCTCAACAGATTTCAACACTTCAAATTACAAGTTTCCCATTCAAATCAATTACAAACGACTGTCATATTTATGTAGTTTAGAATGTGATCTTTCTATTGGCTATGAACATCTACTTAAAAAAATAGGCATGAATAGACAAGATGTTTTACAAAAGTTAACGTTTTCCTACACTGAAAATGTATTTCAGATCAGTACTTACCTCCACTATAGCTATCTCAAGCTTGGTTTGCCCTCTAAGCATTACTAAAACATTTTTCACTAATAGCACACCAGTCTATTATACCACTTTATTTTTGCACCATTTCAGAACATGTGCAAGTCATGTGACTACCCTCCACCCATCATATTGCACCACATATACAAGTGCAGGTAACTTCTCTACTATTCTAGCACAATCCTCACTTTCAAGAATTGGCAGTTACAAACTAAAACACTGGCATATCATTGGGGAGGAAGGGGGAAAGAGGCAAGTACCTGTCAGAAACATATTTTCAGTGTAGGAAAATGTTAACTTCCAAAACAGTACTACCTTCCATCACTCAAAGATAGAATCCCACACTGAAAAGGTGGAGGGGCCAGTGAAGGTGTGACAATATTCAAATAAGTAGATAACAACTGCCTGAAAATAAATTAAAGCACACCTTTGGGGTACAGCACTACTTCTGGAACAGGTATGCTCCTCACCCAGTAAGGAAGCCATACTATATATAGGACAGAATGTATGAGGCAGGCACCATATACTCAAGGAAAAGATCCACAGCACTTTGCTTTGGAGAAGTGCAGTATAACTACGACATGAATCAGCATAGAGTGGACACATGAAATGTCTAGTATGTAATTGACAACAAGCCCAAAGAAATATGTGCCAAGTGAAGAGTCCTGGGGCACACTGGAGCAAGTCCACTGATGTCTTTTTGAGGTAATTATTAGCAACAAGAGTGATCCACATAGGTATGTGGATAGTATGTGATATAGGCATAAGTGGTTAGGGCTAAACGACCAGAAATTGTGTATGAATAGGTTGAGTGCATAGACAAAACACATTCAGGGGGAAGCATCTTGGGATACATCAGATTATGCCAAGTGCAGTCCATCTGGACAAAAACAACAGTGGAAGTGCCTTGCATAAGTGAGGTCTGCCTGGGCAAAAGACATCCAAAGGAAGTGCCTTGGGTATATAATATTATGGCCAAGTGAGGTCTGTCCAGGTAAGAAACATCCAGGGGAAGCACCTTAGGATATGTCAGATTACGCCAAGTGTGGTTCATCTGGGCAGAAAACATCCAGTAGAAGTACCTTGTATAAGATACAGGGATCAACAAGTGCAGTCAGTCCAGGTAAAACTCAGGGGAAGCAAATTGAATATATATATATAGGATTAGGCCAATTGCAATCCTTCCAGGCAAAAACATCCAGGGCAATTGCCTTGAGATTCTATTGAGTCAAATGCAGTCCAACCAGTCAGAAACACCCAGCAGAAGCACCATTCATAAGCATGTATATTATGATCAACAAGTACAAATACCCTAGGCAAAACATCCGGGGGAAGTGCCTTGGAACCAGAATAGTATGTTATTGCATATTCAATAACTATAACAATGACAGCCTTCTTTTTGCTGAATGGGTACTTGTAAATTACAAGTTTGATTTCTCTCACTGTACACCCCACTCAGGAGGAAACCTCCATGGTTCACCACTCCAGCAGCTGGGAACTGGAATGGTAAGGACTCCCGTGCTCCACTAGAAGAGTAAATGGGGGAAGAATATGCATTGGAAAGTTCGGAGAATTGACACACTGGAGACTGTCCATTGGGTGTCTCCAAGTTCCTATTTTGAAAAGCAGAAATACCCAGATTGTAAGAATCAT